AATACAAAGAACTGCCAACCAAAAATCCCAAAAAAAAACAAAAACTTTTTCTTAAATTTATTTTTAAATTTCTCTTCTCCACTTTTTATTTTTTATTTTTTTTTTTAATTCCAAAAAAATATATGTTTCCAAACAAAAAAATATGGGGTTGTAGGGATTAAAATTCCCTACAACCCTCTTTTTTTTTTTTTTTTTACCCATTATTTAATTCAGGAAAAATCATGTAAAATCGGGTCCGCGGCGCGGACCAGGCTGGCCGCGGACGCGGACGTATATGCGTCCGCGTCCGAGATCGACCCCGCGGATGCGTCCACGGGTGTTTCATAGGCAAGTGGTTCAGCGTAGGATCAGATCTTTTGGTTTTTCCCTTCTCGGAATCGAGCGGCTAGCTTCGCCGGCCTCATCGCCGAAGGCGGGTTCGTACTTGGTGCACGAAGGGAACACATTGGGTGTCTCTCTGTGTAAACACTTGTTGCCGACGGGTTTCACATATCTCAGAATCTGACGTGGACAGCCTCAGTCGGAGGCTGTGTTCTCGACACTCAGCTTCGGAGCGGGTTCGTCAGAAAAATCCCGCGGTCCGATAGGAGTAGTACTGCCGGCACTCAGAGCACGGCCTTCAGGGCTAGTAGGGGGCTACCGACTCCCAAGGGACAACTACCAGAGTGTGGTAAGGAAGGAGGCGATAGAAGGGAGGAAACTCAGTGGTTATGGCGACGAATCCCGGGTCTGCGAAAGACAGGTGATCGTGCATACTGGGGATGACTGGTATTAGGGGGTTCTGCCCTATAGCCTGCCGAAAATCCCATGCACATACCCTATCATTTTGTTTCAAACATGGAAAGGCAGGAAGTCTCAACTTCGACAGTCGGATAAATATGCTCGCTTTCCCAATATTCCCGGTACTCAGGGTCTTGCAGACAGTCGCGGTCGCTCATCCAAAATGGAATGTCGATATCCATACCTCATGAAAAGGACTCAATTCATACATTTGTGCGTGTGCAAGGTGTGATCGGGTTGGAGAAGGATCATGCACATACGCGTATACGTGATAAATGTTTTTTCGTGGTTATTTGTATAGTACGTGCGTGCACAAGATCTGTCTCCGGTCGGGCTGTGAGACTACCAATTATGCATGCACCTATTATAATCCTAGCCCATTCAGAAAGACGCTACCTGCAGACTTAATACAAAATAGTCAGCCGATCAGGCGACACACACCGACAATACGAGTACGCAAGGAAAGGGGGAGAGAGCAATATCTCATTCATCATCAGTATGGCGCCCAGACCATGCATACCATAATTTTCTGGCTCAGCAATCAACAACACCCATGTCTAATCATACTGTCAATTGAGTGCAACAACGATGTAGCGGACCCACCAGGTGTGGTGCTCCGCTAGTGGTAGAGATGGAGATGGAGGAAGAAGGGGGGAGCGAGATGGCACAACGCAGCTCCCCACGCAAGACTCCAACGCAAGACTCCAACGCACGTACTCCAAAATGTGCAAGTCAAGAATGAGACTGAAAACAGACAATGGCTGAGGTATACCCCAGCGGACTGACAGGACTGGACTGGGCTGGCTGGTACCGACAGAGGTACCGGTCTGGACTGGCCTACCCCGAATACAACACAGGCCTGTGAGAACAGGCCAAGGGGTTGGTCTCACAGGCCAACCCGAGGTCCGCTACACGATCCTCGACCTGTGATGGATCGCCTAGATACAAACATGCTTCCGCCAAGAAGCGGAACTCTACCAAAGAAAAGAAAACATGAGTAGTCTAGGATGCGGAGCAAGCTCCATGTTGAGTCCATGCGATGCAACCTAGGATATAAAATGTCACAAAACAGCAATGTCACAGCTAACAGCCTAAGTGAAAGCAGAAGCAACTAACTAACATACATGTCCTAGGAAAGCAAAAGTAACTTACTAGCATACATGTCATAGGAAAGCAGAGTGACAGCTAGATCCTAGAATGTTGGAGGCACTAGCCTTAGTCTGGTAACAACTGACTAGTGTATAAGTCCTAAGAACAGCAAAAGCAGAACAGCTTAATCCTAGAAATGTCGGAGGCAGTAGCCTCAGTATGAGAGCAACAAAGCAATCAAAAGACAACCATATGTCACATGAGAAGTGTGTCGCCCAAAGGGTGGGATGGTCTCTGAGGGTGGCGAATGCAGCCTAGGGGTCGAAAACTCCTAAGGGCATCCACACATAGTGACAGGGGAAAACACATGTCATCAGGCTCAATGAGGGTAGGGAACTGGGAGCGAACAAAACCAATGACACTAACAGATAGACCATTAGGGCGGGTGATGCTCGACTAAGGGGTGACCGCCATGGAGGGTCGACCATGCAAGGGAACAAGGGAGCCTGGTATACTGGGCGCACCTAGATGAAGCATGCGGGG